AAATGAGAAGGAAGAAAAGTCTTCTAGATAACATGAATGTCATTCACGTGGTTATCATGTTGGGTAAAGCTAAAGAGACTTGAAAAATAACAATGGATCATTCTAATGGCCATCTGTAAAAAAAATCAAGCTAAGAAAGCAGACACAGGAAGCCAAGTCTTATATGCAAAGTCATTTTTTGCGGTCCAATGAAAGAATAAGTGCATGTGCAGACAAATGAACAAGGGAAAAGAAGTGACCGACTCATGCTTGGAAATTCCCCAATTCAACTTTTGATAAAAACAAAAAAAGAGGAAGACATCTTTCAGAGGACTTAAATGTGGATACCATTTTGGTCAAATATTGGGTCAAAATATTGACCAAAAGCATTGAAATGAAATTAATAGATGCTACGAGACAAAAGGAAAGAAAGAAAATTTGCCAATCTCTAAACAAGTAGCTAAAAGGCATTTGCTTCTCTGCCACATGAAGTTCTATTTGGACCTAAAAGAGTACAAGTTGTCACAAGTTCACAGAGAAGGAAAAACTTGTTGTCAAACTTCCCAAATTAATTGGGAAACTCATTCACATGGCAACCTTTGTATTAACACCCAAAGAAATAGAAGACAAATCAAAACTACAAAAGATTTTGGGAAAAGCATCACTTTGTACAAGTGTTAATGAGAAAGGATGGCAAGTATCGAAGGCAAAACATGAATTGGAACACAAAAAGGGTGTCTAAATGCCCACTGTCAAGACCAGTCAAATAATTCTCTATGTGGAAATAGAAATGCTATAGAGTGATGATTGCACACTAGTACATCAAAACCCATTCAAAATATGGCATATACTATGAGTGCGTTACTACAAATTTTAGAGTGCAATTCTCACATTTGGAGCCATGAATCAACAATTGTCTTTAACAAACTCGATACTGCAAAATAGTTTGTCCAACAACCATGTCAAAAACCAAGTTAAAATGGTACTGAAAGCTACTGTTGATAAAGGAAAAGTTAAATAAATTTAGACTACAGAAGCTACCAACATCAAATTAGGCTTATCATCTACCATTACACAAAAAGAAGGGTTTTTACAACCCAACCAAGCTCATTACCTAAAGGAAACAACAACAAACCAAATTGAAGAGATGTCATTGCCCGGGATGCCTGCACAAAAGAATTGATAAGTTCATCACAGTTAAAGTTTCATTCCACTCCAAATACATAAGCAAACCCGGAACATAAAGAAAACGAAAATGGGTAACCTGCTTGATTTCTCCCCTTCTTCGTTTTGAGTTTTCGATCCACAAAGGAAGCACACGAGCAAAAGAACAAGGCAGCAGAAAAACAAAGGCTCTCGTGACTTGCATAAAAGAAGAAGAAAAAAAAAACCCTCTGCGATTTAGGAGGAAAAGAGGATAAGTTGGAGCAATTCAAAAGAGTTTGAACTCCACCAATCTTACCCATCTTCGTTTGGAATTCAACGGCTAAAAAACCCAAAAGGAATTTTAAAAAAAAGGCGAAAACATTGCGAAATCGATGGGGAGCTCGAGTATATCGACATCGCTGTTTGGAGGAATGAATACTGGAACTGGGAAGATCTCTAATTGGGTTTTTGAACTGTGCATCTCATGTGGGACTTGGAGTCCCACTTTCTACTTAAGGAAAAGACAAAGTCTTATTTCATTTTGAAATGTGCATCTCACGTGAGGCTTGGAGTCCCACTTTGTCTTCAAGTCTCAGCTACTTAAGGAAAATATTGAATTGTGCATCTCACGTGGGGCTGGGAGTCCCACTTTATGTCTTCAAATCCTAAGCTACGTAAGGAAAAGACAAAATCAAACTCCTATTTCTCAAAGCCTATTAGGTAAATACCAAAGGTCATATATGGGTTTTAAATAAATCCAAATAGCTTCTCATTTTGCCAAAGTCTGAACACAAATCCAAATCAAATATCTCACGAACTACGCCGATTTGATTCCGTTAAAGATACGTAGGCAGTCTGATATCAAATTTTAGATGCAATCATAAAACCGAAACGAATCCTTGGTTTATATAAACTAAATTCACTCCTACCATTTTGACCAAGTAAATTACAAAATTCTACAAAAAGTAAAAGAGAAGTCTGCATCCCACGTGGGAATGTTGCTCACATGGAGAAGGAGAGAGGTTGCTGATGATAAGAGGAATTTGGAAGCCAAAGTCCTATTTGAACATGGGACCCTAATCTCACAAAAACCACGTTTGAGATAAAAAAGAGAAAAAAAAAAAAGGAGATAATGATGCTTGCTGCCAGATTGGAAAGAAGCTTGGGTGTTAGGTCAAACGGGTTCAAAGTCCCACGTCAAATGGGTTTGAAAGTTCAAAAAAAAAAGATTATAAAAAAGGGAGCTGCTTCTTGAGAATTCCATCAAAAGCCTTTTGTGCTAGGACTTCGACGCCACGTGACATCCTATCTGGACTGGGAAAATTCAAGTGTACAAGGGAAAGAAATAAGAAGTTTTCCGTAAACAAAGTTCTCAAATTAATTGGGAATGTCGCTCGCGTGGGACCCTCAATAGAAAATGCATCAAAAGAAGTTACGTTGATCAACCTTTCCCAAACCGTGTAGGATGAGTCCCACCATATGAAAAACTCTTAAAACATGCACATCACTGACTCAACAGGCATGATCACTCACTTGTGCCTAATTACAAGTGTACCAAAGGAAGGAAGGCATAGACAAAAAAAGTATGGTGAATTAAATCCAACCATGGAAAATAGCTCTACAAAAAGAGAGGCTTAATGCATTGATCCAAACTCACTCTTCAAGTTTTGATTGGTTATTTATCAAAAATGTCCATCAAAATTTTATTTAACGGCACGAAGCCACGTCAAGATTCAAAAGGCATGAAGCCGTATAAAAAATCAAATGGCACAAAGCCGCTACAAATGGCACAAAGCCTTTACAAATGGCACAAAGCCGCTTCAAATGGCACAAAGCCGTATCGAAAATCAAATAGGCATGAAGCCGCGACAAAAGTCAAAGGGCACGAAGTCGCGCATGCTCCAATGGCTCAAAGTCTCGCCCGCACGAGCTAAAACTACATAAGGCATCAAACACTCCTTGCCTGCACGAGCTAAAATTGCGCAAGGCATCAAACATTCCTTGCCTGCATGAGTGGAAATTGCATAAGGCATCAAACCCCAACAAATATGCAAAAAACTACGAGTGACTTGACCCCTCAACAAGGGTACGTAGGTAATCTAGGGCTCGACCTAGGTGCAATCGCAAAATCAAATAAACACCCAAATCCCCAAATTACGATTTATTCAAATTGGAATCAAAGGGTATTCCTTTCCCAAAAGAAGGGTTGTAATTAATAGGCTAGAATGTGTCAAACTCGAATTAATAAAAATCATCTTCTGAAAAAATGAACGAGGGTGATATTGTATTGAGTGGATTATTTGTTTACATATTCGTGTACAATTTTTGCTCAACAATGCAAGAAGCAGATAACTTATGCTTCTTGGTTCTTGCATGCATTGCTTTTGGAACCCAAAAAAATTTATTCTAAAAGTGTTTTCAGACTTCAAATTTAAATTGTTGTGCTTGTCAAAATTAATATAAACCATATTGTGATTTAAAATTAATAATAGCGGTTGAATATTGATGACATAGAGATTGTTGAAACCAAATTCGCACACCACCATGCGTAGAGAAGATGCACAAACTCAACTACCTGTATAAGAGTAAACGAACGTAAGACAAACTGAGCACTGGTGGGGTACCGGCCAAAAGTTCCCCGATGATCAAGTTACTAAGCAATTTATGAGACTCAAGCAGTGGGCAAGAAAACAGAGTATGTCATAATTGCTTTTACCATAGATGATTCCTAGATGGGTGTATTTAATATTTATACTAGTCGAGAGAGATCTTTTAGAGTGTGAAATCAGTATTGAAACAGGAGAATCCAAGAGAATATCTAGGAGTAGATGTAGTGTCCTCTTAGGAATGATTATTTGTGTCGCACGCTAATTCCTAGATTATAGAAATCTCCAAGAATATAGGAAACTTATATAAGCCCCAATCAGATCAGGTTTCGTATCTTGTAGAACAAGAATGATCAATTTCAGCGAAGACGGTAGACTCCGCAACCTTTCCGGAACACAATCGGCTCGTTTGAGCAGTTTAATCTAATCGAAGCTTGAGTTTATGACTGGACTTCTGAGTTATTCGTGTTTCGATCCGGCCAAGAAAAATCAAGGTGCCACATCGATTAAACTCTATTTTGGCACTTAGGGTTGGTTCATGTTTACGGGAAGAAGAACGTTGTGGCAGATGATCTTGCCATTTGAAGTTATAATATGAATCATGGGTGCCATTATTTTGAAAATCCACCTAAATGGATTGGAACTCATTTATTTGATGATGATCGAAATCTCTAGGACTCAAGCTCCTTGTAATAATTTATTGATCTAGGTTTGCGCTGATCCATCCCTTATCTAAATTTTATATTAATGAAAATTTTATTGTCAATCAAAAGATGATGAAAATACATTTAATCTTGTATCACAAAATAAAGTTGTGAACAATAAATTAATTTTGCACAAACAAAACTTTATAGTTATTTTTTTAAAAAAAACCACAAACTCATCCTCATTTTCACGTTCTATGTTTATCTTTCTCTCTCTATTTCTCATTTTAAAAAAAAAAATAAAAAATTATCCACACACTATGTAAGCATACGCTAGCGTTACCCAAAAAAAAAAAATCCCATTTTGGTTAATTTCCCTCACTAAAAAGAAAAAGCTAAAGCAAAAATGGAAAAAGGAAAGAGAAAGTGAAAACCCGGGAAGATACACGTGGAAAGCCAAAGGTGGATGGCCCACAAAATTAGTAGTCCCCGCAGGTGACGTAACCAACCCTCCTCCGTGCGTGCATTTACAAAAGGTTAAACAAAAATTTACTGCAGCCGCCGTAACTACCACTTAGCCAAGTCAATACCCGCCAGTATTTTACCCCGAAATCGCAGGGTTTTGGGACGCGTTTAGGGGTTTAAGGGCTTCTTACACAACTCTTCGCCCACTCAGTAGTCGTGGGTGGGACTCTGAGAGCCAGTTGTGCTCACCGATTTCCCTTCTCAAATTAGGGTTTTTTTGGCGGCTAGGTTTTGACTCAATCCCAATTACAATTTGATTTCTCTGCAAATCCTATTGCTTCCAGGCTTTATGCGTTCCCCGTCCCTTGATATAATAATATCTCAAGAGTTCATCTTTCCAACTCCAATTTGGTTTTTTAGCCCCAGTTATTCTCTGGGTGTCTTGATCAAATTTGACACTCCAAGTTGTGAACTTTGATCATCCCTCTCATCAGAATCAATCAAAGGTTGGTGGGTTTGTGTAGAAATTTGGGATTTTGCACAGGTTTTGTGATTTGGGTTTTCTTGAATTGGACTCTGCTTGTTGATCTGATTGTGTTATCTGGTGCAGGTCTTTGATTCTTGCTTGCTATCATACATTGAATTTGTATAGGTTTTGTTGGGGGATTGAAAGTTTTGATCTTTATTTGATTGGTTTACTGAGGAAAGTTTCGGCTCTAGAGTAGTTTTCTGAGGTATGAATTTTTCTGATCACTCACAATTTATGCCACCGCAAACGCCTTACAATGGCGGTGGCAGTGACGTGGTTAATTGCTGGCCGCCTGCGTTTTCAATGAACAATGATGACCAGCATTCTCAGGTTGAGCAGCAACCTTTTAAAAGGGCTAGGAATTCTGAAGAACGCCAATCGAATCCGATGCCATACCCGCCCATGAACTATAGGGTTCAGCAGCCGAGTGCCCCGGTTAACAAGGGAGCAAGCAACATTTTCTATAAGACCCGTTTGTGTGTAAATTTTAAATCCGGTATGTGTAGGAATGGTGAGAATTGTAACTATGCACATGGCATTGAAGATATCCGCCATCCCCCGCCCAATTGGCAAGAACTTGTTTCCGTACGCGATGAGGATCGGCCATTGTCTGGTAATTGGGATGATGATCAGAAAATAATCCACAGGATGAAGCTGTGCAAGAAGTTTTATAATGGTGAGGAGTGTCCTTATGGAGATAGGTGTAACTTTCTTCATGAAGATCCATCAAAGTTTAGGGATGATTCGGGTAGGTTTAGGGAGAACACAGCAATAAGCATTGGAACTACAGGAGCACCAGTGGCTCATGGGAGTGGCTCTAATCCTCCTGAGGAAAATAGGCTTGTAAACACGGGTATGGATGCTTCCCGGGGAAATGTGAAGCCAGTGTATTGGAAGACAAAGTTATGTAATAAGTGGGAGACAACGGGTAAATGCCCCTTCGGCGAGAAATGTCACTTTGCTCACGGGCTAACAGGTTCTGAGTGCTTGTGCTTAGTATCTTAAATTAACATTTATCGTTATGCTTGCTTCTCTGCTTAGTATGATCAATTTTAACATCAAATCTATGTTAGACTTTAAATTTAGGCTAACAATCGTATTTGGAACTGAATCATTGTTAGCTTTTGCAATAGGAGTCCTGGCATTTTACTGCGATTTGTAGACGAGGTTAGAGGAGCAATGGTGCTATTACTTAAAGCATGTAGGTTTCGTTTTGAATGACACATAAGCTGACTGGCAATGTTGTTTCATAGATTGAAATTATTCTGAATACAGGGTAACAGAGGTACCTTTGTAAATAGATGTTTCGGGTAATTATTCCATTTCATTTCAAAGGAAACTGTTTCGGTCATGCATGCATTTCTTTGATTCTTATTTCAAGGCCTATGCACGAGTGTACTGTGTGTGTTGGTGTGATTTTGAACTTTGGTGTTCCTAATGCCTACTCTAGGAATTATATATTTTGTCATGTACTCAGTATATATGTTAACAAGCAATCTATGGATGTGTAGCGTTTATTTGTTTTTCGCGAATGGCATGCTATTAGATGATTAGGGATTTTTCTAAAGATATTTGTGTATCGTGTAAATGTTAAGGAAGGTGATTAAAGAGATGGTTAAAAAATGTGGGAACTGCCCTTTAGATGCTTACACTGGTTTTCTACTATTGAACTTTTGATTTCAGAGTTGCAAGTGCCCGGTGGACGTACTGTTGAGGCAGAATTTCTGAATACCCCTCCCTTTTCAATACCCCAAGTTGTTGCTGCTGTCAACTCATCCGCAACTGCAATAGCAGCACTTCCTCCTTTAAATGAAGAAGGGGGGCAGAGGAAGAAGGGCATGCTAAAATGGAAAGGGTCTAAGAAGATCAATCGCATATACGCTGACTGGCTTGATGATGTTCCGCTGGTGCACCAGCACAACTTAGTCGAGAGCTAAATTTGAGTTCAAGCTCTTATCTCGGAGGCATTTTCGAATTGGTTCAAAAATTCCAGTGTGCTGCTGCCGAGTTTCTAAAGTTTTGATCTTGAGGATAATTGGATTACAGCATTTGATCATTGTTTGTTGGTCGGTCTATAGGTTTCTGTTTCTTGTTATTTATAGTATTGGTTCCTCTATCCTCAATAGAGATTGTTCTAATAATGTTGCAAAACCAGCTTCTTCTTTTTTTAATTTTTTTTTATAAAATGACATTAATGACTGTGAATAAAGATTTTATGTTCAATTTCTATTGGTCCCGTAGCTCAGTTGGTTAGAGCGTTGGTCTTATGAGCCGAAGGTCGCGGGTTCGAGCCCCGCCGGGACCAATCGTGCTTAATTATTAAATCTTGCAAAAGAACGGAGAATTAGATGGAGATCTCAACCATAGAATACAAGCTGGATGGATGAAGTGGAAGAGTGCATCCGGCGTGTTGTGTGACCGCCGTATGCCACTGAAGCTCAAGGGAAAATTTTATAGGACGGCAATAAGGCCGGCGATGCTGTATGGCACAGAATGTTGGGCGGTGAAACATCAACACGTACACAAAATGGGTGTAGCGGAGATGAGGATGCTTCGTTGGATGTGTGGGCACACGAGAAAGGATAAGATTAGGAATGAGGATATCCGGGGTAAAGTAGGAGTAGCCGAAATTGAAGGAAAGATGAGAGAAAAATCGGTTACGGTGGTTTGGACATGTGCAAAGAAGGCCTACTGACGCTCCGATTAGAAGATGCGACTATGGGACAGAGGTTCAGGGCCGAAGGGGTAGAGGAAGACCTAGGAAAACTTTGGAAGAGACTCTAAGAAAAGACTTAGAGTACTTGGATCTAACGAAGGACATGACACAGGATCGAGCACAATGGCGTTCTAAGATTCATATAGCCGATCCCACTCAGTGACTTGGACTTTCCAAGTCTCCAACCGAGAAGTTTTCCTCACTCGGGAAATTAAGGGAACACTACCCTAACCTACATGCTCCACTCAGAAAGCTTCAACATACAAGCTTCAACAAAAGAAAATTCAAAGAACTTAGCGAAGAAGGCTTTGGTGTATTTAACACAATACGTTGAAATGAAGGAAAGCTTATTTTTATTGATATCCCCGATAAGCTACAAATATGTACATATACATGAGTAAAAATAAACACACAAGAGGGAGCCTTCACAAAGGTTGCTTAGGAGAAGTCTCAGCAGTCGGTAGAGCCCCAGAAAGAGAAGGCACCGGAGGGGGATCATTTGGAGCCTCAGTACTGGACAGAACCCTAGAAGGAGGAGGCATCAGAGGTTGATCATTTGGAGCTTCATTACGCGGTACAGCCCCAGAAGACGAAGGCAATAAATGCCTTTGGAACAAACCCACAAATCTCTGATGATCAAGTAAAACCTGACCATCAGTTTCCTTCATCTGGTCAAGCTTCCTCTTCATGTTTGTAGCATAGTCATGTGCGAGCCGGTGCAACTGTTTATTCTCATGCTTGAGCCCTCTAATCTCCTGTTTGAGACTCATCACTTCAGCCGCCAATGATTCAACTTGGCGGGTTCGAGCAAATAGGCGTTGGGCCATATTAGACACAGAACCTGCACACTGAACACTGAGAGCCAGCGAATCCTTAACAGCTAACTCATCAGACCGTTTGGAAAGTAGTCTGTTATCTTTGGGAGTGAGAAGGTTCCTGGCCACCACCGCAGCGGTCATATCATTTCTTCATCACGGAATCCCCAACGGTAAGAGGACCAGTTGGGGAGACGAAGGATGGGCGCCATATGTTGTCTGGAGAAGGCGGGGCTGCCTCTTCAACAAGGTTCAAGTCAAAACGACGGTCGGAGGGGCCAGACATTTTCAAAGGTGTTGAAGAGAGAAGAGGTCGGACAAATCAAGATCTTAGAAGTGCAAGAATGAAGCTTCTACTGGTGGAGATTCAAGTGTGCTTTGGAACTTAATGCCAGCCCCTATAAAAATCTGCACTCGACGGAGCTTCAGAAATCGAAGAGGCGCCTGCTCAGAAATCGAAGAGGCGTTTGCTTTCTCAAAAGTTGGGCTGCTTAGAGATCACGAGGGTTGATCTCAGAAATCGAAGAGGCGTTTGCTTTCTCAAAAGTTGGGCTGCTCAAAGACCACGAAGGCCGATCTCAGAAATCGAAGAGGCGTTCGCTTTCTCAAAAGCTGGGCTCCCCAGAGACCACGAGGGCCGATCTCAGAAATCGAAGAGGCACCTACTTTTCCAGCCTTGTCAGCACCTGTCACACGCACACTCAGCTTTGCGGAAATTATGGGCATTCTGTCAAAGACTTCTGGGGAAGTAGTCCCACACGCAACAATAGCTCATGGGTACCACAGATAACTTTGCCAAAGTTCTCTGCCAAAGTTGAGCACGTGAAGCTTGCAGCTCCCACTACATCGCTCTGACCAAGAAAGGTAAAAGAATAGCAAAGAAACAGCACTAACAAAGTTTTAGACACATAAATTTTGAAGGTCTAGCTACCATATTATTACCCACAAGGGTAAAGGAACAGTACGGATAATTGGAAAGTCCCTGTGTGTCAACCTCTGTGCTTCGTGGCAAGGTAGACTAGCAAACATGCCCAACCTTTACTCACATTCGAGAAAAACACTCCCAACAAGATTGCTTGCTCCAAAATCGAAGAGGCACCGTCCTCCGAATCTCGAGAGCCAGACTCCCAACATGACTACTTTCTCAAAATCGAAGAGAGGGTAAAGGAACAGTACCATTGCTGGATAATTGGAAAGTCCCTGTGTGTCAACCTTTGTGCTTCGTGGCAAGGTAGACTAGCAAACATGTCCAACCTTTACTCACATTCGAGACAACACTCCCAACAAGATTGCTTGCTCCAAAATCGAAGAGGCACCGCCCTCCGAATCTTGAGAGCCAGACTCCCAACATGATTACTTCCTCAAAAATCGAAGAGACACTGCTCTCCGAATCTCGAGAGTCAGACCCCCATCATGATTGCTTTCTCAAAAATCGAAGAGGCATCGTTCTCCGAATCTCGAGAGCCAGATACCACAGACCACTTTTTCAAAGTGCTCTGACAGAGTTAAAACATGTGAAACTGGCAGCTCCCACTACTACCGTGCTATGACCAAGCAGGGTAAAGGAATAGCATTACTACTTGTTGTTAGGGAGACTCCTATATATGTCGACCTCCATCCCCAACGGACAGGCAGACCTGCAAAAATGCTCAACCCTTCATCATATCTGAGAGGGCACTCCCAACGAAGCCTTTCGAAATATTCAGCTTTCTTTCCCCCCGATAATACCTCTGCAAACAAGCTATACTAGAGCAAGAATATCTCATATCATCAGGGTTAAAAAGCAAGAGTATCCCATATCATGCTTTTTCCCTGTCTTTTCTTTTGGCCTTGTTTTTACCTGCAAGACAAGGAGAAAGAGAGCAATCAGTCAGCACTTGGAATCAAGCTTCCAGCCAGGAAGTGACTGCCTGGAACCCCTTACCTGATTACTTACCTGGCATTGCTCTCGAGTACTCATCTTCAACATCTTATGTTTCTAGGGAAGATTCCGCATCTGCTTGAGGAACAGATAGGGCAAGTGCGAAGGATACAAGGAAGCATGTGGAGACAAGCGTAACAGCACACGTGCCGATACATCCATTACTCTGTCAAAAGCAAAAGTATCCCATATCAGCAGGGTGGAACGTACTCTAGATTTGATGGACTTGTTTTGACCCTCAAATTCTTCAGTCGGCCTTATACTCTGGAGGAAACCAGAAAACCCTCCAGCTCAGTTCAAGAATAAGCCTGTGGAAAAATTACTTCTTCAAAAGCAAAAGTATCTCATATCATCTCTTCTCATTTTTCTTCTCTTTATATCCTTCATGCTGCTGCAAGATGGGGAGAAGGTGAACAATCAGTCGGAGCTCTGATTGCTTACCTTGTCTGTCACCTCTTTTCAGCAGACCCCCTAGCTCGGCGACTTGGGAGACTCCTACTACATGGTTTGTATCGCGCTTGACCAAGCCTGAAACTACAAGTAAGCTTCAAGTGAAATTGATACATTACCTTGTGCATCTCCACCAGTTAAAGATACCACCCCTGGATGGAGGAATAGTACTTCCAGAGAAGATGCCACATCTACCTATGAGACAGATAAGGCAAGTCAAGACGACACCACACTCCGATACTTAGAAGTTTCGTGATTACGAGATCATTCTCCCACAATATTTCCTAATGTCATTTGTACTAAATCATTCACTTGTACTCACTAAAGGAGAGCTTGAACCTATGTACTTGTGTAAACCCTTCACAATTAATGAGAACTCTTCTATTCCGTGGACGTAGCCAATCTGGGTGAACCACGTACATCTTGTGTTTGCTTTCCTATCTCTATCCATTTATATACTTATCCACACTAATGACCGGAGCAATCTAGCGAAGATCACAAAAAGCGACCGTTTTCGCTACCTAGGATCTATCTTGCAAGAGAACGGAGAATTAGATGGAGATCTCAACCATAGAATACGAGCTGGATGGAAAGAGTGCATCCGGCGTGTTGTGTGACCGTCGTAGGCCACTGAAGCTCAAGGGAAAATTTTATAGGACGGCAATAAGGCCAACGATGTTGTATGGCACAGAATGTTGGGTGGTGAAGCATCAACACGTACACAAAATGGGTGTAGCGGAGATGAGGATGCTTCGTGGGGATGTGTGGGCACACGAGAAAGGATAAGATTGGGAATGAGGATATCCGAGGTAAAGTAGGAGTAGTAGCCGAAATTGTAGGAAAGATGAGAGAAAATCGGCTCCGGTGATTTGGACATGTGCAAAGAAGGCCGACTGACGCTCCGGTTCGAAGATGTGACTACGGGACAGAGGTTCAGGGCCGAAGGGGTAGAGGAAGACCTAGGAAAACTTTGGAAGAGACTCTAAGAAAAGACTTAGAGTACTTGGATCTAACGGAGGACATGACACAAAACCGAGCGCAATGGCGTTCTAGGATTCATATAGCCGACCCCACTTAGTGGGAAAAGGCTTTGTTGTTGTTGTTGTAATAGTATCTACACTGAGATGAGGGGTATGGGCTCAGACTCACAATGGACTGGCAATAATGTGGTTCAAATTCGTCTTTGGCGAGAATTGAACCTAAAACCTCTTGTTTACAAATGAAGATGAACATCACTAAATTGTAGTGACATTTTATAAATAAAAAACTCAAGTTTGTACACCCAGGAGGCCTCGACCACAGAAAGAAAACTATAAATTTATAAC